TGATATTATAAAGTTTTGTACAGAATTTTAAAAAAAATTAAAAAATCTGTGCAGATCTACATTTTATTACAGATCTGCACGGATTTTTTAATTTTTTTTTCTTTACTAATTATCACCAGGTTTGAAGTTTTGCACAGATTTTGGATCTGAAGATTTATGCAAAACTGTGCTCTCAAAAATTTTCTAATGTAATTATTTTTTTAAGTTTTTAATTATTAATTAATTATAATTAAAAAAATTTTTTTATAATTATATTTTTATAATTATTTAATTTTATTTTATAAATATAATAATTATAAAAAGATTTAATTATATTATATATTAAGTATATTAATAATAAAATATAAAATAATTTTTATATATAATTAAATTTTAATATTAAAAATATATTTTTTATTTATTTTTATAAAAATTACAAGATAATTATTTAAGATATTAATTAAATCTATATTATATATATTTATTCTTATAATATATTATTAGAAATTTAATAATAATTATTTAATAATTATAATTTTTATTATTTAATCAAAAATTATTATATTTATTAAATATATAATAAATTATTTATTTAAATTAATTTAATTAGAAATTTATAAATTAATATAATATATTTTCTTAAATAATTTTATTTATAAATTTAAAATTAATTTATATAAGATTTTTAAATTAATATTTATTTATTTTATAATATATAAAATACTTATTAAAATCATTTGAAAATATTAAAATATCAAAATTCAAAAATTATATTTGATTATATATTAATAATTAATTGATATTTTAATTTATTATATTATTAAAATTAAAAATATTTATAATAATAAAAATATATTATATATTAATAATTAATTATTTAATATTATATTATTTATTAAAATTTATAAAATTTAATAAGTATTTTTAATAATATATAAATTAATTTTTATTTTAATATAAAATAATAATTATTTTTTTTGAATTTAATAATTTATAATATTTTAATTAAATTAAGATTAAAATTTTAATTAATCTAATTTAAAAGATGAATATTATATATTAATATTTATCAAATTATATATATTAAAGTATAATATAATAACTTAGCTTATTAAAAAATAATATTTAAATATTAATAAATTTAAAATATAAAAATAATTTTGTCAAAATTAAGAGTATTTATTAAAATTTATATATTTTAATAAATAAAATAATATTAAAACTAAAATTTTAATATATAATATATTTTTATTATTACAAATCTTTTTGAATTTTAGCAATATAATAAATTATAAAATATTAAAATATTAATTAATTATTAATATATAACTTAATATAATTTCTGAATCTTAATATTTTAATATTTAAATAATTTTGACAAGTTATTATTAATTAAAAAATTAATATAAATATCTGAATTTATAATTTTTTTTTACTAATATTTAATAAATTAATTTCATTTTAATAAAAATAATTTCAAAAAATTATTAAATTTAATATATTCTTAATAATAAACTTTATCAAATTTTTATTATATTCTTATTTAACTATTTAATTAAAAATTTCTCAAATCAAATTATATTTTTTTATTATTATTCTCAGTTATATTTTTTCTGAAAAGAAATTTTTTCTTGAAATATAACTTTCAAATTCTATTTTATTTAAGTATTTATAAATATTATTATCATGATAAATAATATTGAATTTGTTATTTTTTAATATATACCAATAAAAATAAACTTCTCGGCTATTATAATATTATTACAAATAAGCATCACCAAGTTGCAACTAGTTTGCAAACTTAGTAATTTTGAGTTGCAATGGTGTGATAAATAAAGCATTACCAGATTGCAACATCCATCACTGGTGAGAAATTGATTTCTTTATATCATTTGATGGTATTATATACTGTTACTTGAGATATATTGAATTTAAGTATAAGATTTTTGTTTTTGACACCAGCCAAATAGTCGCCGATTATTAGCTCCCGTCAGCTTCTTTTCGCGCATTTTAAAGAAAGAAAGAAAAACCAGAATTCTTTTTTGTTTATTGTTATTGTTTGTGTTTATTTGCCAATAAATTGGCTTTTTAAATTTTTGATCGGCATTTGTGCGACCATTTCCAGTAATATACTGTGGGGTGTGTATACCGGATCAGTTAATATTTACTTTATACATTCTGTATTTAAGCATAAGCATTCTTTCTGAAAAGCTGTTAATGTAATGCAAAGTTTACATTGGTGTTGAAAACTATGAATAAAATGTTATTAATCTTGGAATTATTTTCGTTGTGAAATTCGATTCTCTTTATCCTTCACAAAAAGTAATAATATATAACCATATAAAATAAGAGTTTTTAAACTAACTGCGGGAAAGGTGAATAGAATATGCATCCGATACTTGAATTGAAAACCATATATAGAGTTAATCTGTTGTACACACACGATTCCAATAAAATTTCCATTTCCATTTATTCTCTGATCCAATAACAAGTAAAGGATATTTGATAGTGTGTTTTTTATTCGCCATGATCCGTATTATCAATAAAAGGAAAAGGATATTTGATAGTGCTGTTTTTATCCGATTTATATGAAGTGCTGTTGGCTGAAACACGCAAATAATGCAAGTTGAAATTTAGAAGCAGATTATCGTTATTAATAGAAACTCAAATTAAAAAAAATACTATTATATAAGTATTGTAATACATACCCTGAAAGTGGTTTTTCATTTTCGAGTAAACAATAGTGTCACACACTTTTTTCCTCGTACACAATGTTCTCCAATAGGATTCTGTGTACCCTCGTTCATTATGACGAATTATCATATTATTTAAACCGAAACTAATTTTTTAAATTTAGTCTATTATTCTACCCTGTCCATATTGTGTGCGTTTGTGTGTGTGTGTGAGACAACTATAGCGTCGTTGTCATCGTACTTTCTTTAATTCTAATATTGCTTATATATCAGTTGCCCTATCTGTCCACCCCCTCTACCATCAGAAAGAAACGGATTGATTGATTTGTTTGAATTATTGATTAATATCATTGAGTTTGGTCTTTCCTTGGCAAAAAACCTTTATCATTGATTAATCAATTAAATCGAATCAAACAAATTCGTATTTTCTCTCCTCACTTCATCATAATCCATCAAACTTATCCAACTTCAAGCATCATCAATTAATATAATCATCAAATTATCAATGAAACAAACAAAACCAATAACATTATCTTTCGTATTATTATGGGTGTTGCTGTCAATATTCTCAACACTTGCAATTCCAACGCGTGATTCTAATACTTTTGCGGTACCACTGGGTGTACCAAATGCAAAAAAGTCACCAAATCCTCCATCATATGCTATACTGCCTGTTAAAACACGTGATAATGGCAATTCGGTATGGTTAAATATTTAAATAAGTCAGTTATATCAACATATAATATATATTATAATTTATTATCATAGTGGACAGCTGCAGTTCCAGTCGGAACACCACCAAAAATTGTATACTTACAAGTAGATACCGGTAGTGGATCAACCATTGTTCTTCCGCCCTACAATTCTTCTCTTTCGCGAACAGCGAAAAAGGAACCAGCAAATGATACTACATTACCATTCTTGGGTGGATTGAAAATTTCTGGACACTACGTAAGAGGTTGGAAAATATATCATATCACATCAATAGATGATCATGAATTATTAGGTTAATCTATTATCAATTATTGAAAAGATGTATTCAGGATCGGTAGCATCACAATTCGTGATCATAAATTTCTCGCCGGAACTAACGTATCGCAAGAAGCTCCAGGTAATGGCATCTTGGGATTGGGCATACGGACTCAGATTCCTGATGGTGAAACCGTTTATGAGGCAATGATCAGAAAAAAATTGGCAAGTATATTATTGAGATGAGTTTGAAGAAAGATATTGTTTTATACGGAAAATTATTATTTCAAACTAATTTTTTTAATAAATTTTAAAAAGATTGGCGCTCCATTACTTGGAATACAATTAGTTAAAGGAGGTGGAGGTCAAATTTTATTCGGTGGCATTGATTATTCAAAAATCATTGGTACTTATTGCTGCTATTAATTATTCGTTTTATTCTATAAATGTTGATAACTAACATCAGCTAATGATTATTAATTCCAGGGTCAATCACCTACGAAAAACAAAGTGTAGAAGACCAATGGATAATCCCAATAAAATTAGCATTCACCTTCGGTGTAGAGCTTCCCAAAAACTCCAGCATAGAATCCAACAGACCAATCGAGAGCAGTGCACTAATTGACTCAGGCTCGACAGTAGTTTATGTGGATAACGGATTAGCCGACGCGTTCTATCAAACTATTCCCGGCTACAATATTTCCACTGATGGATATTACACAATCCCTTGTGATGTAGAAGTTTCGACGCTGCCTGTTGTGAAAGTGATAATAAATAATCAAGAGTTTCCGATTCCAAGAGCTGATCTTGTGTTTGAACCGACGCAAAACGATCCAAAGCAGTGTGTTGGTGGTATTCAGGGTGGTCAACCAAATCCTCAACTATGGATTCTCGGTGATACTTTTATGCAGGTATTTCTATCATCTGAAGCAATGTTAATTCAAAATATAATTATTGTTGGTTTGATCAATTGTTAACTAATGGCTTTTCTTCACTACATAGAATTATTATTTAATATTTGATCGAGGAGAAGGTCAAATTGGTGTAGCAAAAAGATCAGACGTCAAATATGACGATCATTAAACTAAACCAAGACTATCATGCATTTTTTTCTATCTCTCACGTTATATATATATATTATTTATAATTCTGTGATAATTACATGGTTCAAATCACGCAACACGCACAATTTCAAATATATACACGCGCGCACAATTCATTCCTTTTCACTACTTTATCAAGCGAAAAACCCTCGGGGAAGCTGGGCTTTTTCGGGATCCAAAAAAATTCATTAAATTTACCCTAGTTCGCTTTACAACAATAATACATATAATATTACCTATAATAATATCTATAATATTGAGAAACACTTTTATATTGTCATTTAGAATTAATAAAAATTATATTCAGTGGGATTTGGATTTGTGTAACATGAATCAACTTTTAGTGTTCATAACACCCACCCCTGATATTATTACAAGCACCAGTACTCGTGTTCTTGTGATTTGTTCCAGATATGATGAAAATTCAAATTCCAAGTCTACTGCCATTTTGATTTTTTCAAATTCAGTTAACATAAATAGCTATATATTTGAGCAATATCATCTTGAAATATAAAAATAAAAAAAAGTTTTATACATGTACATGCTTGACTTATATACAGATCGGTTATTCTGATGCGGCCCAATATGAATGCAAGCATGACTATAACTGAATTTTTAGAGTTCATCCAAGATATTCCGAACTACATAATATTCACCACCATCATATTCTGGATGATTATTATGAATTTTGACCAATAAGGCATGCAATACGCATGCATTTTCATCAAAGCATACGTATTGCATTTCCTCGGATTTAATCTTTCCCTTGTATAGCTTGTGAAGCTTTTCGAATCCAAACCGATTCGTTGTATATGTACCTTCAACCATTTGAGCATCAACGGAATTTGATTTTTGTCGAACCATCAGGATTGTTTGAAAATATTTTCCCTCCCACCAGATCACCGGTGCGTACAACTGTGCATACAGCGGAATCTTTGAAGTGTAGATGCCGGCGCCGTATGCAGATCCGTTCACAGAACGAACATTATTCACGCCTGCAAGGGATCCAGGGATTTTTAGGCCATATTGGAGAATACTTGTAATGTTGTTTGAGTTCGTTCCATGATAACTATAAGTCCACTTATAGTCGTGAAATAGGTGATATCCCTGCTTTAATACGAATTTGGAACACCGGGATGGTCTCAAGTATCGATGCCCACCACGGTTTTCAATATGACAATAATTGTCGAAATAATAACAATCATCTTCATGATTAAAAATCGAATCGTCGAGCTGTAAATACTCTTTGACAAATTTGTAACATGTCATATAATTGGAATTTTGTTCGAGGGA